CAGAAACATAATTGGAGATAGATGAAAGGTACAACTACGTTTACCTTTTCGCTGGGCAATGGGAAGGTCGAGGTCAGAAACGAGGGGTGATGGTGTTGCGGAAGTCACTTCTGGATCCGTCGACGGTGAAGAAGCTGGAGGGCCGGTGCATGTCGATGCGTATACACTTGATGGATAGGTGGCCATGTAGGAGGAAGTGGCACCGAAGGTGAAGACTTGGGCGCAGTTGGAACAAGAGGAATGGGGTCTGTGACAGAAACTGGAAGCGGAAGGAAAGGAGAGACATCTGACCTAGAAAAGAACGGAACCGACTCAAAGAAGGTAACATCGGGACACAAAACAACGTTGAGAACTAGGATTGTAACACTTGTACCCTTTCTGGGTCCTAGAATAGCCAAGAAAGACGCACTTCGTAGATCGTGCATCTAGTTTGTCTAGTCCGGGACCAAGATTATGAACAAAGCACACACACCCAAAAACCCGAGGAGTAAGAGGAAAAGGAGACAATGTAGGAAACAGAACAGTGAAGGGAGACTGACCATCAAGGATGGACATAGGCATTTTGTTAATAAGAAAGCAAGATGTAAGCATAGCATTACTCCTGAAATGTTTGGGTACATTCATATGGTGCAACAGGGATCAAGTGGTTTCTGAGAAAAGGCGATTTTTCCGTTCAGCTACCCCATTTTGTTGGGGGTGTAAGAGCAAGAGGTTTGATGAATAATACCATATTGTTCTAAATATTGCTGAAAGGGTGTATAAAAATATTCTCGGCCATTATCTTAACGTAGGATCTTAATGTGAATACCAAATCGAGTGCGGATTTTAGCATGAAATTTTTGGAAAATAGAAAATAATTTACTTCTTTTTTTCATAAGATAAAGCCATGTCATCCTTGAATAATCGTCAACAAAAATAACAAAGTAGTTGTATCCATTGTGTGACACTACTTTATTTGGACCCCAAATGTCCGAATGGACCAAAGAAAAAGGACTCGACATATGATAATCGACTCTAGGACTGAAGGAAACCTGATGATGTTTCCCATACTGACA